AGCTCGCGTATTATAGTAACAACGACGAATTTTTGATAGAGAACGAATTCCTACCTGAAACCACCCACCACATTTCCATTCGTTTCGTGGAAATTTGATGCTGCGTCCCAAAGGGTTGAAAGAAGAACACCAGAAGGGTGAAAAATATTTCTATTGAACGAAATCGAATATTTCTCGTTCGGATAGAACGGTAATACGAATCTTGAATTATTTTCACCGATATAAAATCTTGCTTTAAAATTTCCAATCGAAGGGGAGAAGATTTAGAATTATTATTAATTTTAATTTCTTTTAATTCCTGTATTAAATCGTAAATCAAGTCGGATCGATTGGAAAAAGGGGATCACGTCACGTGGTGGAACTTGGGCACGTTGATTCCATGTGAATAACAATTCGATCTTTATCAGAATCGTACGTACCGTAGTGTGGGGGAGCTCACGAGGTCGCCAGCAATCGAGAAAGCAACGATTCGTAGCGCTATGCAAATGATGAATTTCTCCCGTGTCCCTTTAAATAAATGCGTTTACTTGAACCTGATTTACGTTGTGACTTACGCACGGTAACGAGGACCCTATTAAACTTTCCTTATTTGTACGTTTCAAATATTATATCGATTACGAGCGCCGGGGGAAACGTTCAAATAAATTGAAATGTTGCCAACAATGAGACCGTTGTTAGACGCAAGTGTAAAATAATCGTGCAACCTCCAGATGTGAAATTATCATACAAGCTCTTCTAGAGAAATCTCGTAATTGGTTCATCGGCTAGTCTATTCGATAGATTGACGTGAAATATAAACAAAGAATCATCACACTTTGTACTTCTCGCGATGATACTTCTTACGAGACAAAGAAGATTCGTACGTCATCAAAGGGGGAAAATTATTTTTTCGTAATTCAAAATCGATGACAAATGATTTTATTTAAATTTCTGTCCCGTTACTTCGATCTTTGAACCAGAGTATGAAAATGGAAATCGGTGCAAAAGAAGCAGAATCGGTCGTGAAAAATAATCACAATTGGGAATTGAGTGGCAGGGGGAGGGAGTAGAGGCGTCGTCCTTTTATTTTACGGAATATCAGTATCTTGTGAACGGTAAAATTTAATGGGCATCGATTCACAAAAGCGAGACTACGTGTCAGGTTGGTGCGGTCTCGTTCGGCAATGATTCGTTTTCGTGGTGATGGTGCAAACCAGATAGTAGACAGAAGGAGCCAGGAAGATACGATCTTCCGGTAAAAGGAGAAAGAACCCCCCGTAGTGACTTTGAATCTATGGACCCTTTTAAGGTGTCCCTTTGCGGGGCTTGTTCAGTTTGGCTTAGCGTCGGAAACGCAACAAACGATCCTCACAACCGCCCAACGAACCTTCCTCCCTATTAGATCTTCCACTCGTGGCTTGATAAAGATCTAGACGAATCTTGATAAATAATTTTACTGCCATTTTTCTATTTAATTCACGAGTTCGCGATAATTTGCCAACTCCCGTTGAAACACGATTCAAAAGTTCTTTTTATTACATACGTCTCTATTTCCATTTGTCAGAATTATTCATTGTACTGCGTGTTTATGTGTCTATATTACTTGTTGAATTCACTATGCTTTATAAAGGAAGCGTTTTTACTACAATTTAATTTTTCTTATTATATTTTATTATTTATGTAATAACGAGGAGTAATGATTTTAGTGTAATTACAATAATAATTACCAATAATTTATAATTCTCAAGAGTTCACGTAAGATATAATTCAAAGCTTTTTTAATTTCATCTGATACGAATTCCAACCAAGATTACACAATGGTGATCTATGTTTGCGTATAATGTAGTATAATAACATTAATTAAATCCTGTTTGAATAAGATCAAAGTAGGGAGCATTAAGAAACAGCGATAAACGATAATTAACTACTCTGAGAAGGAGAATTGATACTAAATATGAGATCCCCTCCAGCAATCGACAATACAATCGTATTATCTTCACACTTGGCTTCTCCGGCTGGTTTCCATTGTTTGCCACATCTCGAATCCGCGGAAAGAATGGGTAAGATAGGGAGGTAGGGAGGAAGGAGTTATGTTTATGCGTGATTTAACACCCGCATTTCCATTCGACACTTTCCACGATCGCGAAACTAGCAATACTTCTCTCTGTTTAGTAACCCGCGATACTTGTCATTAACGTTACGGTCGGAACTGAAAAATTCGATTATTTATTGCTCCGTGAAAGACTTTAACCTCGACGTCTCAATGAACGTCACGTAATCGAAAGGACTTTGAACAATTAAAGAAACTCTTCTTTATTATATTATATAATTCCAAAATAACATCCACAATTTTCTCTCGTTATTTTTCATGAGAAATGATGCGAAAATAATTTAAACGCGTGTCCCGCGCGAATTAAAAAATTTTTATCTACGATTTCTCGATCCCACGATTTACACGATTCGTGTGTGCGCGTATAAACAGTAATAAAACGGTTAATATCCGATAAATCGTGTCGGTGACATGGCCAGCAGTGTGTCATCAATCGGTCGCATTGCGAGGAAGATAAAAGAGGGAGAGAAGAGACCGGTTGGCAAAGGTGGGCGCGCGCATCCACCACCGGTTCACGACCCCACTTTCGTTAACTGCTTTTAATTGCCCCATAATTGAGATTAATGGAAAGGCATGCGGGCGCCCATGATATCACCCTCGGCGAATTAAAATTAAACCGTACACGACTTTGTCCCATAAAAGAAACCGCCGCGCTCGTTTGCTTTGAGCTCGTCACGCGATCCTCCGCGGTTCGCGCGGACCAAAGAAATCCCTATATAAAACATCGCGCAATAAAGCTTGATCGTTTTGTCGTTCGTTTCGCAATTTCATGGCGTACGTAAGCTGGAAAGATTCACGTGCTTGGAAGATGGTCACTCGATATCTTCTCTCGAGATCCTCCTCTCTGCTTTTCCAACACCACCCCTCGTTTTGTATTGAGCGACGCCGCCTTTTCGCGACCATGCCGCCGCAAATTGCCCCTGTTATTATTTCATCTAGTGCAGAATGGTGCCAATCGACGGCTTTTCGCGCGATGCGCCGCTGCGTAATAAATTCGAACATTGCGCCTTTTGTAATGTGGATAGGACGAGAGTAATTTTGAATATCCGATGCTGTTGATTCAATTTAATAGTACGAGACTTTAAATATCTATTTACAGTATTTTTTTTACGTGTACGCGTGTTAACGTGGCGATTTAATTGTGCTTTCTCGAAGAATTTAGCGGAAAAAAGAAATTGTTGCCCACGATTATTATCGCGATTTGAACAAGCATGAATAAGCATTTCTTTGGTTGAATGGTTAAATACGGGTATAACGATACGACGGGCGTATGAAAGAATGTCTGGAAGAAAAGTGAAAACAAGAAACGTTCCATGCGAGAAACGTTTTAGACGAGGTCTTACATAAATTCCACAAAGAGATTCACATCGTCGGAATCGTCTCGCGAATATTACACATCTCAACTTTCCCATGAGCACTACAAACAGCCTATCTTTTTATTATATCCATATCTGTCTAGTAACACGTACGTTGCGTGGGAGTGCCCATCACTCCTTTGACTCGGACCAACCACACCGTTGTGGCTCGTAGTGGAGTTCGGGTGTCGCTTATTTCCTCTTTCTTCGTGTTCCTCTTAACGCGCCGGCCTCCTCCTCGAGGGCTCCTTGAAATGGACCGAAATCTCACGTGGCTTTTCATGACGGTCGAGTGGCGCTAGGGGACCACCCGCAAATAACACGTGCCATTAATTTCTAAAAAATGAAGCCCTGAAAAACGATGAAGCCGATTACTTCCACTAATACCATCTTTCCGTTCCTCCGAACGTTCCATAAGAATTCAAAACGACGAGAGCAGAGTATAGCTAGCTGTACTAATTTCAATTTAATAACACGGCGGATATGAATAAATTAAAGGACACGTGAATATGATCGAATAGAAATCGTTCTCTACCTACGTACAACGCGTTGAATGTCAATGAACGATACGACGTCACACCGATCGCGTTCTTGAAACTTGCTCGGGGAATAATCGAGGGAAAAAAGGATAGAAGAGCAGCTGTTCGAAACGTAACAATCAAATTTTGCACACAAAGATCCGTCCAACGCGTGAAACGGAAGAATACAAAGGTGAATCGAGAAACAATAACGTACACTAATTTGGGATACTCTAATATCGGTTCATTGGCCGGTTAAGTCGAAATCGGTCGAGTTAACGCGAATACAGGCTATTAGCACCAACACAGGTTTAAAAGCAAAGTTACTCGAGTCCCGTGACCCCATGTTTCGCCTACGAAACATTGTGGAGTTGCAAGGCGGGAACCCGTTCGAGTGGTAGACCGTGAGGCGACACATCGTTGCTGTGCTCTATTCACTCGAGATAGGGAAAAGACGTTGCATATACATATATATATATATATACGCGTGAGGAGGATATATGTACGTTGTATACTATACACGGTACGTCCATAGGAAACAGCTGAGACCGGGAGAGACGAGTGTTCCCTGGTATGATACATCCACGACGAAATTAATGTCCCAGGATTCTCGGTTCCAAGGACAGGGGCTTGTACGTTTCGAGGACGAAACATTCTATGGCAACGGTGCCACCGACATCCGTGCATTCCGCCGATCGAATGCGATACGATAAATTTTCCTACGAGGCTATACGATGCGTCGGGAAATAGTGGTCGCTTTTAAGGTATTTTGCCTTATCTTGGAAACGCGAATGTTTCGATTTTAACTATTTTAATTGCTGTGCTCGGTTGTTGATAAAATATTAAAAGCCTGGAACTGGATATTAAATAAAATGGGATAAGGAACGTGTTTCGCCCGACGAGATCGATCAGGGATTAATTTCGTATCGATGGAATACGTATTTATCGCGACACGTAAATTTCCATTGTTAGATGATTATGTATAATGAGGAGAATCGGTGAACTCTCTCGTTCCCTTTAAATAAACAACGTTCTGGACATATAACGTCAACACCCCTCTAAAACTACACCGCGAGATATATTGATTTCCGAGACCGAAGTAATCCTGTTTACTTTCAGACGCGACGAAAAAATGTCAATATAGCACGTAATTAGAGATCCGTCATCCTCCATCCGTGTACTCCATTGTTGGAGGGAGTCAAGCACTTGATAGGATAAATATACATCCAATATATAACGAAGTGAAGCAACAAACAAACGAAACTAGTGTCCTGCGAAACGTTTGGGCGCATGTTGAAAAGCTGCGGCGCCTCCTTCGTCGGCAAACACCCACGCCCGAGTGTAACATGCACTAATACGTCGGTAGTAGCGTACGCGCTCACACGCGTGCTTATGCGTGCACGCCGAAACAACCGTGCGAGAGTTGCAAGCGGGGAACGCATATACGTATCACATTGACGAGTTCCCGCCCGAGTCGGCGGTTGGTCGCTGCTTTGGCAGCTCCTCGTCTCTCTCTCAGGTAGCATGCGAGCACGGGGAAATGAGAGAAAGGGAGAGAGAACGAGATGGAGTCGCGGCGACCAGGACAGAACGGGACGAGGGACAAGCGGATAAGGATGGAGATAAGGGAGCGTGGGAGAGAGATAGGTCGCGTGAGCGAGAGAAAAAATGCAAAGGGGGAAAAAACAGGAAGAGAACGAGGAGAGAGAGAGAGAGAGAGAGAGAGACGGAACGGAGCAACGGTACAAAAGGGGAGAGGAAGATGCATGGAAAACACGATGGCATGAGAAGAAGAGAAGTGGCGGAAGGAAATGAGCGAGAACCGTTGCTACAAAGAGAGATTAGAGAAAGGGTTGGGGAGGGGAGGGGACGGTAAAAAACGGAGGAAAGTAACAAATACCTTGGTAGGGGACTAAGAAAAGCAGCAGGAAAAAAGAGGAACGAACGGAAAAAGAGTAGAGAGTCGAGAAAGAAGAGGAACGGTGGAAAAGGGACAGAGAAACCGCGTAGAAGAGGAACGGTGTAAGGGAGTGAAAGAAGGCGCGAGAGAGAAAGAAAGAGGGGTAGAGCGCTCGTATGGTCGGTTTGCCGCCTGCCGCGTAGTAGTAGCGTGCCGAGCGAGCAGCAAGCAGTGCCGAACGTCGTCGTCGTTTCTCAGTGTCGCCGCGGCGGTCGTGCCAGACGGTTCTCTTATTCAAGTTTTTCGCGTAATGCGCGCGTAGCGTTCCGTTCCGTTTCGTTTTGTTTCGGTACACGTCAATTCGGTGCAAACGCGCTGGATTAAATTGGATTAAATACGCGGACGCGTCCAGAGGATTATTGACTTGTGACGATCTCGTGTCGTTGCCGGAATCGTCCAGAAAATCCCGCGGAACGAATATATTTTCGAACAGATTTCGTTCAAGGATATCAACGTGATGTGACAACGATTACAACTCTATCGGCGTACTTCGTTCCACGTTTCGGTGTGTCTAATATAAAAGGGATCCTGATTGGAGCATAGTGTGAACAAGAAAACGTCGAGACTAATCGCAGAACGCGAGTTTGAAAAGTGTAACGACGCCACGTGCTACGCCACCGGCGCCATCGTGAGTTAAACTTCGAATTTCGCGCGATGTTCTATGGTCAAGATTCGTTATCGTGAGCAAGTTTGACACGTTTGAAAAGTGAAAAATCGTGGTTCTCTCTCGTGGTCGTGGAACACACGGCGGGTGGCACATTGTAGCGTGTCTTGTGCCGCGTTTGTACAAGTGGATTTAACCTTGTGATCGAACACGTGGATGCATGCTGCCCTGTCGACGATGCTGTGCTTTTGAACGGCCAACCTGTCTGCACGAAAATTCCAGGTTAGAAATATTTATATTTTTCATTACTTTTTACCTTTTATTATTACTTTGATTGACTATGTATAAATAATAACGTTCGTGGTTATTTTCAAGTCAGCCAATAACTATTCATAATTATTATTGGAGCAATTATGTTAAAAAGTACAAGAATATGGAGTGTATTCTTTAAATATGAAATATAAAGTAAAACGTAGAATGATATAAGAAACAAAATATTTTGTTTACATATTTTTCGATGCTCCAAATTATTCGTGGAATTATGAATAGTTGTCGTGGTCGAAAGTAGTCATAAGTCAAAATTCACGCGAACAATAGGTAGTGTCATTTGTTTTGATGGTTTTCGGAGAAATTCGAAACGAGAATAACATTTGTTTATTGAGATTTTCGGGAAGAACACATATACGTTTCGTATATGTCGAGTTGTCAAACATGGTTGAATGTAGAAAATGATAATTGTATCGATTTATTCCATATTTTAATCTAAATTATAAAATCATTTTATTCGAATATTTCTTAATATTTTTCCTTTAAGTCCATCATGTTATTCGTTGCAATTTCAACGTTATTTATGTTTGACACTCGACATTTAGATCGTTATCCTAGATAACTATCGTTTTATCACTCTTATCATTGGCTCCGTTATCATCTGACATTGACGTTACGTGAATATTACTACCGCGACAGAAAAAAAAAGATATCGATGTAATAAATTGTGAGTATGACACAACTATTTTAAAACAAACGAACACACTATTGATTAAACGTTAACAGTTATTCTTTCGATAGCTATCTAAAATTGTCAATGAAAATCTTTGAAAATCAAATTAAAATTTACTACCGTAGTAAATAACACTTTAATAGATATTTAGCAATTGGGATTCCCTTCAATTCATTCGTGAATCATTCAGAAATAATATCTATATAAAAAGAATAAATACATAAGTAAATTTTTTTTCTGCTTTAAAAATCATTTAACATTCATTTAATTTGAATATTTTTCTAATATTTCGTAAGATATATTTTCTGGCATATTTATATTGAAATATATATTTTATAAATATATTTTATTAAAAATATTTTATTTAAAATATCATATGTATTATCGGGTCTTGAAACGAATAATTTCAAAATAAGTAAACATTGAAATGTAAAATGCAGTAGGAAACCTTTGGACTATTGTCGTTGCATTAAGAAGAGTCAGGTTGATTATGTAACACCGTTCATTATTATTCGAACAATAGCGAATTCTAATTCTGCAGTCATATAATTAACCTTCATTGTCACAACATAATTTTGCCATTGATATTATCGTATTACGAAAATTCGACGAAGTATATTCCATTTTAATAATAAATATTTCCATTTGTACAAAGCTTCTTAATTAGGTTGATTCACGATTAACAATTACGATCGCGATTTTTTATCGCCTTGAAGTGATACTCATCTGAAGTGGAAAAAAAAAAATTAATCCGGTTTATTTTTTCAAAAGCTAATAAATAATTCTCCTTCACGAAGTCGATCAATTTACCTTCGATAAATCGATAAATCATAATCATTCGCGGAAGTTTATGCAGATGCTATATTTCAATATTTTTAGAAAAAAAAAAATAATAAAAACAATCGATACTTGGCTCGATCGAGGATTAACCTGAAAAATATTACAAAATAACCGCTTCTGTCGACGGAATAAAAAGAATCGCGTTGTTTGCAACGCAGTCAGCCGCGCGAGTTGGCTCTAAACGAGTCGAAGAGAGTTGCTGGCTAGTCGCTGCATAGCGCGCAGCAACGACAAACGGTAGTAGTGGTTGGTAATCGGTCGATTTATCGAACTGCCGATCGGTATCTGCCGACGACTCGTTCGGCGAGTATGCGTGATTCTCGAAGGCGAAATCCTGATTACGATTCCGTTCAATGTCGCAGTGACATCATCGAGGATCATCATCCTCTTGGAATTCCCCTGTCGATTAAATCTGCACGAGTTAACCGCAATCCCTCCTCGTGTTGCACGATATTCAGATTTTTTTCTTATATCCTAGAAAATTTACATTCGAACACTTTTCAAAAGCCTCCATCTGATATTCGTTCGATTGATTTTGTAACAACAGGCATTTTTATCATATTGAAAATTTTCTTCTTCTCAATCCCTTACATAATTTGTCAATATAAATTTTCATTCATCTCTTAGAAACCTTCAGTTGTGAAATTAATACGAGCGGAGGGATCGTTACGTGACAAAGCGCAGATTGATTTTTTTTTTTTTTTAATAACTGTCCATCAATGCCAAAGGGAATGATTAATATCCGAGTTTTTCGAGTCCATTTCCAATTGTCAAATGGAAGCTTGCCGAGTGAAATCGAAGTGCTCCCGGTTGACCTCCCTTTCCACCATTTATCGCCATTTATCGCGATCTATCAAACATTTGAACGAGTCAGATACGCAGTCGACAAAAAGGGTCTCGATGTCGACAAGAGTTCCGGTATCATTGTAACATACGGCCATAGTGTTCCCTCGCATTATCGCTACGGAGGTAGCCTCATAAGAGTGGCCAAGAGCGAATTGCCGTCATGTTAACCGCGAATGATTGCGAAACAAAAATTCACCGGTATGACAATGGCTTGTAGATTCCATCCAGGGGACCGAGCTATTTTCTGCGAGTCGAAACACACGCGGCGGCGATGCGCAAATTCTGCGAACGTGCCTTGCTTTTAATCAACGATGTTTCGTCATTCGTTGGAGGATCTATTGTTCCCCGTTATGGTGACGCAAAGAGGCCGACTCCGAAATTGAAATTAGAGGAAGCTACACGCATAGGTTGGAAGATTGGCTAATAGACGATTTAGACGAGTTAGAGAAATTTCGAATGGTGAATCGCAAAGTATTCGAAATTTTTAATTAAGAAGGTTGGTTTTCATTGTTTTCATTTTCGAATGACAAAGAATTAGAGGAAGCTACTGTACTTATATATAAATGACGATGAAAAGAATGCTGATAAAGTTGGGCAAATTTTAATTAACAAGAATTTTTTCTCTGCCTTTCGAAAGACTAGCGCCAAGTCACTGTAAATAAAAGATCAAAGATGAAGGATTTATCTTTATTGTATAGGCAGTCGTGCGAGGCAGTAAAATAGATACGACCAAACTGATAAAATAATATAAATAGTGTGAGGTATGTGGAGGTGAAGAATAAATAATATTTGTATTTCTAACGATTTTAATTCATTTTTTTTCTCCACATTTTAATCGTACAGAGAGACGTCATATCCACATTCTATATATTCATGAAAAATATTAAAAGATATCTATTCTTGTACGTTTCATCAAAGTTTACACGAGAAACAAATTTTAGATCCCAATTTTTTTTTTTTTTTCTCGTATAGCGGTTTGCCTGACCGATCGAATTCTTATGGGAAACACGTGCGAGCTACCGCGGATGGGATCACGAAAGTATTTCTCCGGCCATAAATCGCTCTTACGTGATGTTTCCGGCGCGATCGACAGTCTTACCGACTTGTGAATGGCGGCCGAACGTTTATCACCTCCGAATAAACATAATACGCGTGTGTTTTCACTCCGTCGTGTCATATAGATATTCGTGTTTGTCGTATGGAAGACTGGTCGTAACAGAGCGCGTGATAAGAGCGCGATTTCGATTTTTCTATGTTCTTTCCCCTTTTCGGAAACGTCATCGTCAACGGTCATCGATCGATCGATGCACGATTCGAAATAATTGGAAAGCAAACGAGTTCGAGTGTCGTTTGTCTTTATAAAGTGTTATTTCAATTTTCTCCGGTTTACGCAATATTTTAGCGAGTCTCATGTATCAGGTTTTTCAAATATTTATGGTTATTATTAGACGATCAATGGTTTCGCAATACTTCGAAGAGTTAAGAGAGAGGATAGTTAGGAGATGAGAAAATTTTTGCTCATTTATTTCGCTTTTGTAATAGTTCATGGTTAAATAAAGCTTGAACGCAATGCACTTTCGAACGCATACAGAAGACCACGTGGTCAACACGTGTTGCGTTCATTCTTTGGCTAGATTACGCCTCTTGGATGTTCTGATTCCGCGCCTGCTGCAGTCTTTGTAGATCCAACCGGAAGCAACGATCTTTTGTTTACAGAATCATTCGTTTTATTTCCGTTTTACTACGTTTTGTACATCCTCGAATTTTGCCATTCTAAATGGAGAAACTGCTTTCAGTTAATTTTGATGCGGTATCTTAATAAAAATAAAATATAATGATAATCGTAAAGAAAGAATCGATTTAAAATCTCCGTGTAATATTCTAATATTAAGATTTCACGATTCTTTGTTTTCCATTCTTTTTTCCTATTCACACTCCTATGCACAGCTGTTTAACATATTCCCACCTTTGGTTTTCTCTACTTCGTATACGCGTATTTTACAATTCATAGCTGACCTAGTTCTCGAACCGACAAAACTCGAATGGTTCGAGAAAGATTATCACAGCTTAGCTGTAACACCACTTTATGTGCCTACTTATTATATTTTCCTTTACAATTTCATTCATAAAATCTGATAGAATCGAATCCGGTAATTCGTCGAAGATAAAGACAATCTACTAGACTAATAAAAACACTTGTAGATATAAAAACACTTGTACGTATAATCACATTCTCTTTAGGAATTCGTATAAAATAATCCGATGTGGTGACAGTGGTGAAAATATCAGGCAAATGTTCATACTCTGCTGGTATTCGCGATCGGATCGCTCTTTTAATGATGAGATTCGTTTTTGCCATAGTTCCGTGGAAATACGTGGTTGGCATTCGCGGTCTTCCTCTCCGCGAAAAACTACATCGTGATTCACGATACGAGCCTCGTGTCGCCGGCCATAATCGAAAAGAACTTTTAACGTCGAACGACGTTAATTGTTTCTTTTTCAGAGATAGAAAATACTGACGATGAATTCGTTTTGGGATCAGCTGTTTCCATCTCTCTATAATTATTAACTCTTACTCTTCTGTTACCCGTAATTT